CACTATCTCGGTGATGGGCACACTTATAACTTTGACTCAAATGGTACAAAAGCAATTTACATAACCAAAATATATGTACCCCCATAATATCCTGAAATTAAAAAAAAAAACACACACTAATTAATTAATTTAAAAAAGAGGCCAGGCATAGTGGCTCACGCCTGTAATCTTAGCACTCTGGGAGGCCGAGGGGGGCGGATTGCTTGAGGTCAGGAGTTCGAAACCAACCTGAGCAAGAGCGAGATCCCATCTGTACTATAAATAGAAAGAAATTAATTGGCCAACTAACATATATAGAAAAAAAATTAGCCAGGCATGGTGGCACATGCCTGTAGTCCCAGCTACTTGGGAGGCTAAGGCAGTAGGATTGCTTGAGCCCAGGAGTTTGAGGTTGCTGTGAGCTGGGCTGACACCATGGCACTCTACCTGGGCAACAAACTGAGACTCTGTCTCAAAAAAAAAAAAAAAAAGAATGACTCCAATATAAATGAGTTTTACCAAGGTGCTCTGGGGCATTATTTAGTAAAATGATTCATTTCTTTAAAAAATGCATATTCCAATCAAAATTCTAGCAAATTATTTTATAGATATCAACAAACGGATGCTAAAGTTTATATAGAAAGCCAAGACCTAGGATAGTAACACAATACTGAAGAACAAAGGTGAAGAATTCACACTAACCCATCTTAAGACTGTTTTAATATGATTAAAATAATGAGATGATCAAAGTATAATTTCATGAATTACATGGTTTATGGCCATACAAAGAGATTCTATTTTTTATTTACAATGCTCCAAGAGGGGGATAATAACAAGAACAAATGTTGTAGGAAATAAGCTTAGTAGACGAGGTACATTAACATAGTGAGTGAGTTCCAATTTGACCTAGAGTCTAATTAATTAAAGTCTAGTTATTCAGTTAGCAGGCCTCTGTGGATATAAGGTCTCATTGAAGTTTGAAGAGTACCTTTGTATGAGAAAGAGGTTCTTGGGAGAGATGGTTTGATCAACACAGCAGAGATCCATGACAACACTCAAGGTCCCTCCACAGGAGCAAGCAGTGTCAATGAGGCTTAGAGCATAGTTCAAAGGCTGACAAGAGACTAGCCCTACCAAAGCCTAAGCTCTCAATCTGTCTGTCAAAATCTTGGGATTAAATGTGTTTTGGAGTCAAGTAGTTTAGGCCAGTAACTCACATATGTGGTCTGATAAGGGGCGATGTAACATTCTGGCTGGGAGGAGAATTACACTCCCTGTCCTTATGTAGTAAATAAAGTATTTAAATGTTTAAATAATTTTGGAATTACATAACAAAGACTTACTATAAAGCTATAGCAATCAAGACAGCATGCTATTTTTGAAAGAATAAATACATATCAATGTAATGGAATAGAAGTCCCAGAAATAATAGACCCATGCAAATATAATCAGGTGATCTTTGACAAAGTAGCAAAAGCAATTCAATAGAGAAAGGGTATTCTTTTCAACAATGGTACTGGAACAGTTGGATGTCTATATAAAAAAATGAATATAAACATAGACCTTATACCTTTTACTAAATTAACTCAAAATCAATCATAGAACTAAATGTAAAACACAAAACTACTAAACTTATAGAAGAAAGCTTAGGAGAAAGTCTAGGCAACGTTGGGCTTGGCAATGAGTTTTTAGATAAAAGACCAAAAGTATTATCCATGAAAAATAAAATTGATAGATTGGACATCATTATTTTTTATTTTATTTTTTATTTATTTATTTATTTATTTTGAGACAGAGTCTCGCTTGTTGACCAGGCTAGAGTGAGTGCCGTGGCGTCAGCCTAGCTCACAGCAACCTCAAACTCCTGGGCTCAAGCAATCCTTCTGCCTCAGCCTCCTGAGTAGCTGGGACTACAGGCATGTGCCACCATGCCTGGCTAATTTTATATATATATTAGTTGGCCAATTAATTTCTTTCTCTTTATAGTAGAGATGGGGTCTTGCTCAGGCTGGTTTCGAACTCCTGACCTCGAGCAATCCGCCCACCTCAGCCTCCCAGAGTGCTAGGATTACAGGCGTGAGCCACCGCGCCCGGCTGGACATCATTAAAATTAAAATGTCTGCCCTATGAAAGACATGGTTAAGAGAATGAAAAGACAAGCCATAGACTGGAACAAATATTTGCAAAACATATATCTGATGAAAAACTTATATAGGTAATATTTAAAAAAAGACAAAACTCTTAAAACTCTACAGGAAGAAAACAAAGAATTCAATTAAAAATGGGCAAAAGAGGCCGGGCGCGGTGGCTCACGCCTGTAATCCTAGCTCTCTGGGAGGCCGAGGCGGGCGGATTGCTCGAGGTCAGGAGTTCGAAACCAGCCTGAGCAAGAGCGAGACCCCGTCTCTACTATAAATAGAAAGAAATTAATTGGCCAACTAATATATATATACAAAAAAATTAGCCGGGCATGGTGGCGAATGCCTGTAGTCCCAGCTACTTGGGAGGCTGAGGCAGGAGGATCGCTTAAGCCCAGGAGTTTGAGGTTGCTGTGAGCTAGACTGACGCCACGGCACTCACTCTAGCCTGGGCAATAAAGTGAGACTCTGTCTCAAAAAAAAAAAAAAAAAAAAAAATGGGCAAAAGAGCTGAAAACACAAAGAAGATACACAGATGCCAAATGTGCATATGAAAAGGTCTCAATGTCCTTTGTCATTAGGTAATTGCATATTAAAACAATGAGATACCGCTATACACCTATTGAAATGTCTAAAATCCAAAACCACAAATGCCAAATGCTGGTGAGGATGGGAAACTGAAAGGAATGCAAAATGATACAGCCATTTTGGAAGACAGTTTGGCAATTTCTTAACAAAGTTACAATAAACATAGTCTTACCATATGATCCAACAGTTACACTCTTGGGTATTTATCCAATTAAGTTGAAAACTTATGTCCACATAAAAACTTACAGATAGATATTTATACAGCTTTATTCATAATCACCCAAAACTGAAAGCAGCCAAGATGTCCTCAATAGGTGAATGGATAAAGAAACTATGGTACATCCATGCAATGAAGTGTTACTTAGAGATAAAAAGAAATGACCTATGAAGCCACAAAAAGACATGGATAAACTTTAAATGGATATTTCTAAATGAAAGAAATCAGTCTGAAAAGGCTACAAATTATATGATTTCAATTATATGACATTCTGTAAATAGCAGAACTATAGAGATAGTAAAAAGGTCAGTGGTTGCCAGTTGAATGATTAAAGCACAGAGGATTTTTCTAGGCCCATAAAACTATTTTATATGACACTTTGGTGGTAGATATTTGACATCATACATTTGTCAAAACCCATAAAACTTTACAGCATAAAGAGTGAACCTTAATGTGTGAAAAAATTTTTAAATCATTTAAGAGGTTGGAGGATCCCAGAAAGGAATGAAGACTATGACAGGAGAATCTAACTGTATTTTAAATGTATGAAACAACCTCCCTGAAAGGGTAAGGGGGAAGGCATTGACCTAAGTAACTTTGGAAATGAGTCTGTAAGGAATACAAAAGGAATTATACCTAGTTGTGTACTTCATTTGATAAAGTTGTTTCCCATTAGGTGTACAGGTTAAAAATTCTGATACCTCTATATACATATACTGGAATTGAATAATTAAGTAAATGGATAGCGGATGGTAGGAGCCAAATTTCTCCTTGTTGGGAGTAGGAATTTTTAGATTAAGCAAGGGAAGGAGGCTAGAATGATACATTTAGTAATGGATTGGAGACATGAGTAGAGTTGGAGACATCAACAATATGAACTCAAGTTTAGCTTAATATGGTAACCACAGATGGTTACAGAGAGAAATATTTACAGATATGTGTGTACATATAGATTTCAGTACACATAAATATTTTCTTGTTATGTTAATTGAAAGGACCTAAAAGAAATGACACCACAGTAGCAAAATGTACACCTAGCCAGATCTTTGTTTTTAATATTATTCTCCAAAAAAAGGAATTATGGCTCCTTGGAGAAATGGCTGATTCTAGGATGAGGGTGGGATATATATGAGTCTAGAAAATCTTATAGTGCTAAGTGCTCAAAAAAAAAAAAAAATCCACATTGATGGGAGTTAAAGGGACATAGGAGCCAATTACAAGAGCTTCCAATGGCCAAATCTGGAATAACTTTGAACAGCAAAGTAAGCCAAGTGGTATTGAATTATAACCCAAAGTATAAAATAAGTATCTCTGAGCCCAAACTGAAATAAATAAGTGGACAAAAAAGATAAATCTCTTGGAAAGAAGAATTCAAAATAATTTGCATAGATACTCTGCCTTCCAGGATGGGGATCCTAACTTCCCACTCCTTAAGTGTGGGCTGTACATAATGACTTTCTTACAGAGTTTAGTATGAAAAGGAGGGGAGGGGATAATAATAATAATTTTACATTGGAGAAACCTGAAAAACACTACTTCAGCCAGGTGATAAGGACAACATCAACAGTGATAACTCATATTAATAGTATATACCTTAACCCCAGTCTAATCATGAGAAAAATATCAGACAAATCCTAATAAAGGGGCATCCTACAAAATTACTGATGAGTACTCCTCAAAATTCTCAAGGTCATCAAAAACAAGGAAAGTCTAAGAAACTGTCAACAGCCAAGAAGAGCCTAAGGAGACATGACAACTAAATGTAATATGATATCCTGGATGGGATCCTGAAACAGAAAAAAAGACACTAGGTAGAAAACAAGGAAGTCTGGATAAAATATGGAGTTTTATTAGAATATATCGATATTGGTTAATTAATTATATTATTAAAAACAAATGTACCATACTAATAAAAGATGTTAATAATAGGGGAAACTGGGAGTTTATGGGAACTGTGTACTATCTTCTCAATTTTTCTGTAAGCCTAAAACTGTTATAAAAAAATAAAGTCTATTTAAAAAGTGAAAGTATTACTTGAAGCCCTCAGAATAAGGTCATGGTTTCTGTCTCTCCTGCAGTTTTGACAATGTTTCCTGCCTTGCTGACTCTACTTCCCTCTCAGACATCACCTTTGATGGCAATCCAATAGCTCAAGAGTCATGGTACAAACACACAATCCTTCAGAATATGATGCAGCTGCGCCAGCTAGATATGAAGAGAATCACAGTGAGAACCTTTCTAAAATGTTTGCCATATTGTTTCCCTTCATGTGGATTAAGAAATTGGGGTGATATTCTTTGCTTGAAATGCTTCTTAATTTTAATATACTATGATTGTAAACTTCATAATGTAATTATAGCATTTTTACCACCTGCTCCCACCCCAATTTCATTGAATAGGGCTTTTAAAATTCCTAGTCTTTGATTTAAATTAATCATCATGCTTAGTTTTCATTCTTACTTAATATCCAACTAATAATTTATTTTGGAATGGATGAGTAAGAATTTCATTAAGTCGCATATTGTAATGGTTAAGAGCATGGGTGCTGGAGCCAGACTGCCCGAGTCTGAATTCTGTCATGGCCACTTGCTAGCCATATGAACTTTGGCAATTTACTTAATCTTTATATACCTCATTTTCCTCAAAGTAAAATGGGAATCATAATGATACCATGTCATAGAGTTATTATGAAAATAAAATAAAGTACTTAACCTTAGGAGAGTGTGAGGCTCTAGGAAGCATTGTATGGAGTTATTATTATTATTATTATTGCTGATGTTATACCTCCAAAAGTAACTCTCTTTTTTTATTCATTTTATTTGCATGTTAAGATATTCTCTATACTTAGATGTTTTGATATGCGCTGATCTTAGTGAAATGCTGTACATGATACCCCCTCTTTTTAGGTGCATAATGCATATTAGCATATAGGATCCAGGAAGTACTGTAATTAAGGAGACTTGCCTAATTCTGTTTCATTGTATCCCAATATTGTTTTAATATTTTAATTTTTTAGAAAATACTTATTAATAACCTGTTTGATAGTCTCTGACCTAGAAAAATATCCTAAGCCTCCACCTATTTTCTCTCTTCTAGATTCTGCTAATTTTGATGTGGATTCTGATCATCAGCTAGGTTTACTCAGTTGCCAACTGACTTATTCTTTGTATACCAGCTTCACAATGTGTGCAGTTTTCATTCATTGCCTCAGCAATATTATAGACATCTAGGGTAACTAGCAAATAGTTAAAAGTGTGGATGAATTCATGAATACCAGGGTTCTTCTAGGGTTCTGCTTCTCTGTCTGTTCTAAGATGGAGGTGTGGTTCTTTGTCCTCTCGGGTTTTTTTCAGCTTTATACTGTCAACACTGTTTTTTACTTTTATGGTGACTCTTTACCCGTATCTCCAGGTCTTTCTTAATTCAGCATCCTTGGTACTTCTAACTGCTCTTCCTGATAAGATTGATATAAATGGGGTAAGATACAGAGGTACCCCATTTATATAAATTAGTACTTAATTATATATTATGTTTCTCTTAGTGAATTTATATGTCAGTCTTGTCTATTCAAACAATATATAGTCTTTAAGGGTAGAAACCATTCTTCTTCTTCCTTACCTGACACATACAGATATTCTATAAGTGTTTATTTCCTTTCCTTCTCTGTCTCACTTACTGCTGAGAAGTTGAACTTAATAATGTTCAATAAAGACTTGTTGATTGAGTTAAATTTACCTAACTTCCATGCCTTAAATAAAGGAGAATGATACTATATATAATCATTGTCCTTGTACATCCCACAGGGAGTGTGTTTGCCTTGGGATGGGAACAGGGCCAGCCTTCTGCTACATATAGAGCATTAATATCTATAGACTATATAAATATGGAGTATATAAATATATAGGACATATATATTTAGGATATATAGAATATACATATTTTATATATAGGATATAAATATAAATACAGAACATATAAATATGAAGCATATCTGCTCCTCCACTGTTTAACTTAAAAAATAAAAATAAAAAAATTGGAAACAATCTCAAAGTTACAGAAAAATTGTAAGTACAATACAAAGAACTTTTTTTTCTTGAACTATTTGAGAGTAAGCTGCTGACTTGATTGCTCAACAACCCTGAACACTTTAGTGTATATTTTCTATCAGCAAAGACTCTCTCCTACATAACCACAATATAATAAACAAAATCGGGAAATAAAAAAATTACTAGCATCTAATTCTCACACCACATTTAACTTTCACCAGTTATATCAATACTGTTCTTTATAGCAAAATGATTCTGCTTCGAATTATATATTGCATATAGATGAATTTTGTTGTCATGTCTCTATAATCATCATTTTTCTGGAACAGTTCCTCAGTCTGTCTTTGATTTTCATGACTGACATTTATGAAGATTACAGGTTAGTTATTTTGTAGAATAAATATCAATTCAAACTTTTCTGATGTTTCCTCATGATTGATTTATACTTACAGGATTTGGGCATAAATAACATATAGCAGTGATTTTGTATTCTTCCCATTGCGTCCTATCAAGTGGTATGTTATGGATATTATCCCTTTGCTGATTATGCTTACTTTGATTAAGATGCTGCCTTCCAGGCTTCTCTTTTTGAAGTTATTATCATTCCCTTTGTAATCCCATTCATCATAAAAGTTTCAATATATCCATTTATTCTCATGTCAGTATAGACTCATGGTATTTAGTTTCATCTTTTATTTGTAACTTTAGTGTGGAAACAATGTACTCTAAACAAACATCAGCAAATGGCAGCCTATGAGCTGGCTGCTTGTTTTTATAAATGAAGATGTATTAGAACACAGTGTTGCAATGACAGAGTTGAGTAATTGTTAAAGGGACTATATGGTTTTCAAGCTGAAATATTTATTATCTGGCTGAAAAAGTTTGCTCACACCTATAACTATTTTTTCTCTTTAAAATACAATGTCTTGATTACATTTTTGTGTAAATTTTCCAGATAAACATTCTAGCTGTGGTGGATCACACAAATATTTAATGAACTTCTGTGCATAGAGCTGTGATTCCTAAACCGTCAGCCAAAGGTGCTACAGTGAGCTCACAGGGTCACTGTGGAATATTTTTAATTTTTGAGGAAAACACAGGAGATTTGACATTTGTAAGACACTGAGCAAACTATTAGTTCAAAGTAATTTACCATTTCAATGCTAGGTCATACTATATTAGATCATATAATATCTTTGCAAAGCTGAGTTTTCAGTGGTTGTGATAAAAACAAATACCATACCAAAATTGGTATGGAACAGGAAATGAGGGAGGCAGTATCCAATCTAATTCTCTGATTGAGACGTTGGGTAGTACCCTGCAGGTTATACACATTCCATTGTTAAGTAGTGTGGTTATTTAAGAATGGTATAAATATTTTTCATTTCAATTTACATGTACTAATTTTTTTAAATGGTTACTAAGTTGCTAGACTATAAATACTTATTAAGTAGTTTGGACTTAACTACTTAGTAAACAGAGCTGTCACATATTTCTTTTGGCCTAGGGGCACTGTGAAAAAACTCCTCAAACTCTTAGGTAACTTGAATTGAGTTTCTGTACTAGGGTGTGTATTAAACACTAGAAATTACAAGAGAAGAGTCATACTCCATGCCCTAAAGTTACTTGCAGTCTACTTCAGGAATAGGCATGCAGCCAGACAACAGTGCAAAATAACAATCTAGAGAGAAAAGATAGCTAGATGGATCAATAGTTATATATGTTTATGTCCACACACTCACATATATGTTCATGTGTGTATGCATGGCCACACAGGGCAAAATGATGTCAAAGAGCAAAGTACCCGTAAGTCTACCAGAGAAATAGAAAAAGTTCCCAAGGAGAAAATACTTGACTCAGGACTTAAAGAATGGTAAAGAAGAAGGAGGATCTATTTGTGGAGAGTAAAGACATCCAAAATGTAGAGGGATGTTGAGAGAATATAGCAGCTCTTATAGCTGTTCAATATGGCTAAGCATTGAGTATATGTGTGGAGGAATAGCAGGAGACAAGCATGTCTGACAGGCAATAGCTAGGCCATTTTATGTCATAATAAGGAGTTTAGATTTTTGTCTTGGACATAATAGGTGAAGCCCTTGAAGAGTTTAAGGTAGTTAAATTGGATTTGCTTATTTAAAAGACTATCTATCTGGGTAACAGCCTGGAGGAGAAATTGGGTTGGATGAGATGGGTGATGAGATGAGAAGAAGCAAGATTAGTCAGGATAAGAGATTCTGGGTATCTGATCCAAAGGAATGGAATGAGATAATATGATGCCAAGTATGGCTAGCCTCAACTCGTAGTTTGCTTTTATCATCTCTCTTAAGAAGAGTGGGTTTTAGTTTGTAAAGAGTAGAATAAAAATAAGATGAAAGTGATGCCTAGGATAGGTCAGTAAGCAAGTTTGACTCAAGACCCCTCTAGAGCAGGGGTTGGCAAACTATCTGTAAAAGGCCTGATAGTAAATGTTTTATTTAGACTTTAGGGAGCCATACAGTCTCTATTGAAACTATTTAACTCTGCCATCGTAGTATGAAAGCAGGCATGGACAATACATAATGAAAGAGCATGGCTCTATTCTAACAAAATGTTATTTACAAAAATAGGTGGCAGATTGGATTTTGGTCTGAGGGCTAGAGTTTACCAGGTCTTGATCTAGAACACTGAATAAATTGCTGGACCATTGAAAGTTGTATCAGAAAAGTGGTGTAGAATAATGGAGTAGCTGAAGGGGAAGATGAACTAATCTGTCTTTTTATCATAAAAGGAAAGACTGTAAATTCCACAAACTGTCACAGTCAACTTTGATTAGGAAATAAATCTAAATTTATTATTAAGATGGTATGTGAGTACTTCAGGAATTGATCACTAGGAGGCAGCATTAGCTCACTAAAAACAACTCAGGCCAGACAAAATTAGTTTTCTATTTTAGAAATTATACATAGATCCTCTTAGAGAAGAGCTATAGACAGTGTTTTGGCATTTAAACAAAGCATTTGACAAAGTCTTTTATGACATCATTTTGAGTAAGTTGAGTAAGTAACATGGTTAAGTGGACATTTGATTTATTACACCTGTAGAACATGAAGTAATGGATCAATGTCAACCTTTAGAGAAATCTGTACTGGCATGCCATGAGGCTTTTTCCTCTGGCTCATTCTATTCAACATTTTTGTTAATGTCTAGATGAGAAAATATTTGTTGTTCTGATAAAGTATGTGAATGACAGAAATTGGAGAAGTTAGAGATATATTGGTTGATCAAATCAAAATCCAAAAATAGCTGAGTAGTCTAGTACAGGGTTTTGGCGAACTACAGCATATGGGGCAAATCCATCCTGCAGCCTGTGTTTGTACAGCTCTTAAGCTAAGAATGGGCTTTATATTTTTAAAGCATTTTTAAAAAATAAAATAAAAACAAAGAAGAATATGAGATAGAGATCATATATAGCCCACAAAGTCTAAAATATTTATTGTCTGCCCTTTACAGAAAAAGTTTGCTGACCTCTAGTTTAGAAAAATAAGCAGAATTTAATAGATAAATTGAAGATCCTGGACAACATATTGAAAATCCATAACAACAATCAAACAAAACAATTTCAGCACAAATGCAGGGTTTTGAAAGATTAGACTTATCGCAATGTGTGTGAAAATCATTTGTGTTAGAACTAATGATTTCAAATTGAAGTAATTATAAGATGTTATTGTTAAAAGTTAATATGGATTAAAATAATACTCATTTACAGAAAAAGAGAATTCAGAAAATGGAGACAGTAGTTTCTTTATTTTTCTTCAATGGTCAGATTTCACCTGAACTATTATTAGTTTTAGAGTGGTGACAACAAACTGGAGCATTTCCAGAAAATTTGACGTGATTAGTTGACAAAAACAGAAGACATAAGGAAAGTATTACAGTGATCCACAACTCTTTTCATAACTGTTCAAAAAAAGAGAGAATAGGTACATTTTGAGGGGCTAAAACAAGGACCATGGTATAGAAAATTCTAGAAAGCAGAATTTTCTCCTGTCTAAGGTAGGATTTTGCAAATGCAGGCACTGTTCTCACAATTCCGGAACAGAAACAATGTCTAAAGTTTTCACCTTAATCCTACAGTTGGCTTTGTATGGACTTGTTTACAATTTGCTTTCCAAAAAAAATGGAATAGCTCACCTCAGGCAGAAGTAAGTTTCCTGTTGTGGTAGACATTACTAATGCTCACCAATATATTTTGGTTCTCCTCCTCTTTTTGACATGTGAGAAGATGTTTGTCCAATGAAATGTGAGTAGAAATAATGGATATCATTTGCAGGCAGCATTTAAAAACCAATGCATGATTCTCATGTTTTTTCCCATGTGGTGGTCATTGTGGAAGCATATAGTGATTGAGCTGAAGATGCCATCAGATCACAGCACCCAGAATACTTAGCCACTATATTGAAGCCAGTTGCCAATCAAGAAATAAACTTTTCTTATCATGAGCCAATGTATTTGAAGTTGTTGCAGCAGCATAACCCACCCTGTTCTGAGTTTTTTTTTTTTCTCCCCGGTATTTAACAACTAATAACTCTGGGCCTGAAGTCAGGTGACATAGCTTATAATCTTCACTCTAACATAGCTATGACCCTGGAAAAATCAGTTTTCTCTGTTTAAAGAGATTGTTTGGATGAAAAATATTGGCCACCTCGACCCTGGAAAAATCAGTTTTCTCTGTTTAAAGAGATTGTTTGGATGAAAAATATTGACCATCTCTTTTAGAAAAAAAAAATCTGTGATTTTAAAGTCTGTTTTAATATTTTATATATTCAAAGAAGATAATGTTTATACCTATTCTAAAGTATATTGTTAAAATACAGTTTGCCATTTGATTTTTAAAATTCTACATAATAAATTGCTATCTATATTAGGACTACTATTAATATTATTTACTTCGAAGCAAAATGTTTTCTCATGTAATATAAGCATTGTTTTAGAACCTTAATCATCTACTAACAGAGTATGATCTAGGTTAGCAAACGCCTATTAAATCACTGCATTGCTTAATTAATTGGCAATAATTTTAATGTTGGGTCTTTATGGCCAAACTAAAATAAGGAAAAAAGTAGTTATTTTTTTTGTCCCAGATCAATCCCTTTCTTTTGCTACATAAAGGATATGGCTTTTGTCCCAGAAATTGGACTATTACCAAGAAGGTGCCAGAATTTTACAGTTCTTTTCCTTCTTACCAACAGATTTGTAGTTTATCTTCACAATTAGAGGTTTATTTTTATTTCTAAGTTTAGTTACTCTGTAATTATTTAGATTGAAATATAGCCATCAGATGTATAAATTCTTTAAAACACTGAATATTTGAATTGATTTGGTGTAAATCCAGTTTTTCAAGGTTTAGCTTTCCTTTTAAAGCCTTATTGCTTTTAATAGAAGCTCAAATTCTTTTTGAAAATCTGATGAAATCACCTCCTAAGTATGTGTAGTACGTGATCCATACAGTTTCCAGTACTGTTTGAAATTGGCTCTTTGAATAACCAATCTGTTTCTAGTTCACATTTTATAGATAAATCAACAATTGAACATCAATATATTTTACTCTTTTAAAAAGTTTTTTCTGAAATAGGTTTATTGTACAGATACCAAATCAGTATTTACTGAATAAAAGTACTTAATATAATTATTAAACCAGCTATTTTATGAAGCTAGGAATCAGAGTTCTGCAATTTTTTATTTAGTTTTTTCTCCTCATTGCCTCTATTTAGTTTTTAAAAGTTAAGAATCATCATTTTCCATATTGTTAAAGATACTTTAAGTCCACCAAAAATCACATTAAATTTCCATTCCCTTCAAAACAACTAAATCATTTTGTAGCAGATTACTATAGAATTCTAATCTCTCCTTTTTTAATCTCTCTGAAATTAGTAAGATAAATTTAAATGTATCTTTATTATGAAAAATATTATGAATTCACTATCTAGCAAGACATAGCTTCTGGTCCTGATCCTGGCTTTGTGTGTTACTAACTCCTTAGAACAGTTTCTTCATTTCTAAAATGAATGAGTCTTCTAGTGGATACTTTCCTAGTTTTCTTTTTAACTCTGTGAAGTGCCTCCTTACAATGTGGATTGGGCATATGAAGACACAATAATATTTGTTGAACAACTCTTGTGACTATCCATTAGGTTTTAAATCAAATGTTGACTTCTGGTAGGAGTGTAAAATAGAACTACATTTATAGAGGGCAATTTGCAAACATGTCAAAAGTCCTAGAAATATGTCTACCATTTGATTTAGCAGTTTCAGTTTTAGGAAATTATTGAACAGATATAGAAAGCTGTATATTCATTAGTTTATTCTTTAAATGTATATTTATTGAGTATCTACTGTGTGCCAGGAGCTGACATGATCCGTACATTCACAGAGCTTACTGTACAGGGTGGGAGGCAGAAGGGATTGGATCAGAAATAATTAAAATGAAACAGGTTAAGCGCTATGACAGAAGTATAGGGTGCTATGAAAGCATATAGAAACATTTCTCCTGATCTATTTTACAGTTGACTTATTCTCTCTTTAGCTGTGTATAATCTGCTGTTGAACCCCCTTCATTGAATTTTGAATTTCAGTTCTTATAATTTTTCATTTATAAAAGAGTTATTCTTCAAATCTGCTAAAGGTACTTTTAAAGTTTCCTATCTCTGAAGATATTTTCAAGCTTGCATTTATTAAGAAATTGTTTTCTCAAATTGTATCATCATTTAGAGTAGCTACAAATCTTTCAGCAATGAAAATTAAAAGTCACATCATTATAATTTATTAAAATCTGACAGTCTTTAAGGGGAGAAAATGGTCTGGATGCAACTTCTAAAAATTTGCTTATAATGAATATTGTAAGAAATTATAAGATTTGAAATAGGGTGTTGGGATTATGACTGATTTTCTTAAATTTTTTAAACTGTAGTGTTATTTCATAGTTTCTATTTTTTCCAGCCTTATTGAGGTCTGATTGACAAAATTATATAAGGTATACAACTTAATGATCTGATGTATATTGTGAAAGGATTACTACAGTCAAGTCAGTTAACACTTCTATCACTGCACCTAATTAACTATTTTTTTTTTGTAGTGAGAACATTTAAGATCTACTCTCTTAGCAAATTTCAAGTTTATAATACAAGATTGTTAATTACAGTCACAATTCTGTATTTCATAGATTTTAGAATTTAAGAAATGAGACTGGACAAATCAATTTAAAAACAAAGTAAAAATAATGATATTAGGGGGCATAATTTAGTAGTATCAATAGAGAGTTTGAAAAGGTGTTTATCCTTGTTTTATCATCAAAAAGCTCTGATTTGCAACCATAAATCAAATCAAAATTGTTAGGAGTATCATTTTATCTTTTTGGGTTGATTATAAAAAGTTTGAGTCTACGTGGAACCATTGGTATATGGTATACAAAGAAAAATTATAGTGTACTCACCCTTTTCTTCTTTCTCTTCTCATTCTCTTTGCCTTCTTGATGAGTTAGTTTCATCTCATCTCCAAAGTTGGGAGTTAATTAAGAATCCATAGATTTTTTAGAATTAGAGAGAAGAAGAAAATAAAGAGAAACAACATACTAATATTTTCTTTGAGGGGAAGTAGTATGCCTCTCAATAAAAAAACTGGATTTACAGGACCAAAAATATTTAACATTAAAAATTGTTAAACACTTCATAATACTTTCCGAAAAATTTCTTTTAGGAAGAAGAAAGGCGTATGGCATCTATTTTAGCCAAGAAAGAGGAAGAGAAGAAGCGGGAAAATCAGAAACAATCTTTACTTAAGGTATTTTCTCTGCTGTCTACGTAGATGAGTGTGTGCACACACACAGGCATACACACACATATACTCACACACACGCTAGAATGAGGTAGCTGGAAAAGTGGTTTCTAAATTTTGTCAATTTCTCATTTTGATCAGTAGAATATATGTACCCCTAAAACTTGTAGAAATTGTTATCTATAAATATTAAATAAATCTGAACTTAGGAAATACAATATAATGTACATTGTAAAATATATGCAAAAGCTAGAAAATTTAAAAGGAAGAGATGAAAAATAAATATAATTTGAATAAATAAATAAATATCATTGAAGTTATAGCATTTTTTTTCATACCAAAGCATCATCTTATATGTCCTATGGCCTATGCATTTCATTTTGGAAAGCACTATAATAGACTGTCATCTTTACTGATATATTTTAAAGAGCTCTGCTACATGGGTTTTTTTTTAATGATAGCTTTTAATTTAAATTTTATTTATTTATTTTTTTAATTTAAATTTTAATTTAAAATGTTTTACTGTTAGCTCCTCTAATGTAAAAGTGATAAAGATTTTGAGGCATTCAGGAATCTCCATTTGTTTTAAACTGATTTTATATATATTACCTTTCTTAAATAAAATATTCTCTTTTTAAATATTTTATATTAACATCACAAAGTATAATAAAAAAAGACAGCTTAAAGTTTATATTTCATATTATATATCACACTGTGTTCTCAATTTAAGGACATCATCCTAATTATTATTATTCATCTTTGTCCTATATAGGTGCTTTTCTTTTTAGATTAACATGGCATTCAGAATTCAAAAAATGATTAGCCAGGCATGTGGGTATATGCCAGTAGTCCCATCTACTCAGCAGGCTGAGGAGGAGGATTGCTTGATCCCAGGAGTTGGAAGCCAGCCTGGGCAACATAGTGAGACCCTGTCTCTTAAAAAAAATGACTAGTAGGGATACAAAGTAATATTTAATAACCTTAGGAAATCACAGAACTTTCTAAGGTAATGAAAATGTTCTTTATCTTGATAGAAGTATGGGTTATACAGGTATATACATTTGTCAAAGTGAATGAAACAGTATGCTTGAAATCTTTGTATTTTACTCTATAAAAACTATTCCTAAATTAACAAAAACAACAAACAACAAAAAACCTCTCAGCTCAGGACTATAACTCAAAAGTAATTAAAGCTATTACTAAATAGGCTACAATTTCCTCCCCTGCTATTACCTATAACCTCCTAAGTCCTCCCCAACTTTTATCTGTTATCCCCATCCAGTGATTTAACTGTGCCTAAGCCCTCTCCTGACATATCTATCTTGTACTGATTCCGTCAACAGGAATTTTTACTCTTTCCTGTATTGGAGAATCCCTAAGGGTTGGCCAAAACCACCCTGGTTTATAGGAAATATAGCTATTGGCAGTATTTTAAAATTTATAGGAGCAAGATTTACCATTGCCAGGTAATGTCATTGGCAAACTGTTCTGAACAGTTCATTTAGAAAAAGTAATATTCCTTATTATGTAGTTGCTGCTATCAGATACATAAGCAAATAAATAAATGAAAAATACATATATATTATGAAATATCTGATTTCCTTAAGTACTAAGTTTAATAATTGATATCACTGACATTTAACTTTGATACTTCTTGTTTTATTTTTACTGTGAAGGTACATCTTCAGTCTTTCAAATGCACATTGTGGCTTGTGATTATCTTTCAAATTTTTTTTAGAGCAATTCTTGTGAAATCATGGATAAGTCAAAAATTCATGTTATTTTCAAATATGAGTTCCGTGATAGAACCAATGCAGCACAGACAGCTCGAAATATCAACAAAGTGTTTGGGAAGGATATAGTTAATGAATACACAGTACATCAATGGTTCGAGAAGTTCTGTTCTAGTGATTTTTAATCTTGAAAATGAACCACGTAGGTGACCTGAGACCAAGGTGGATAGTGAGCTGAAAGCTGCAGTGGAGGCGAATCCATCTCAACCTACGTGTGAATTAGCAGCAAGGTTTGACGTTACTATTCCAGCAATATTGGACCATTTGAAACAAATCAGCAAGGTAAAGAAGCTGGAAAGATGGGTTCCACATGAATTAAACAAGCATCAGGAGATAAATAGTCTCAAAGCTTGCCTTTCTTTACTGTCATGACATAAAGGCAAACCATTTCTACAATGTATTGTTATGCATTATGAAAAATGGATTCTTTTTGATAATCACAAGTGTTCAGCACAATGGTTGGATAAGGATGAAGTGCTGAAACACAGTCCAGAACCAAATATTCATCAACAAAAAGCTACTGGTATCTGTTTCATGGTCCAGTGTTGGTATTATCCACTACAGCTTCATGAAACCCAGTCAGTCAATTACAGCAGATGTCTACTGCAGCCAACTGCAGTGATGAAATGAAATGATGAAATGATGAGTATGCTTGCGATTAAGCAGCTGAAACTGGTCAATAGAGACAGGCTAATCCTCTTTTTTTTTTTTACTTTCATATAATCTTTATTAGAACCATATCAACATACATCATACATATAGAACCTTTCAGATAAGAGTTATCTTCACTTTACTCTGATATCTGTGAAGATGTTTTTATTTCTATTACGTCAAATAATATTTAAGACTTCTATTTGATTCTACTGTAAAGATATGTCAGTATTTTAACTGACAGTTAACTGTTTAACTGGACAGTTTTTCTCTACTTAAGGAGCAATTGGTAAAATGATTTATTTTGAAAAACTTAGAACGTTTCTCTCTTAGTTTAATACAGAAGAAAAAAACTAGATTATATACTGTATATTTTTTGTTTTATGACTCAAAAAGTAATTTTCTTTACATTTTCTTAATATATTTTACATTTGCCATTAAGCTTTCATGGAAAACTTAATATTAATCATATTCACCTAATATTCAATGACCCCTCATAGCTCTGATGCAAAAATAACAGATCACAAGAGGATTAGCCTGTTATTTTTGCATCAGGCTAATCCTCTTGCAAGACAGTGCTCAACCACATGTCACACAAACAGTGCTGCTTAAACTACAGCAGCTGGAATTGGAAACTCTCTGTCATCCACTGTATTCACCAGACCTTGCACCAACTGACTACCTTCTTCCAGACTTTGGACCATTTCTTGTAAGGAAAAAGTCGATTGTCAACAAGCTATAGAAAATGCCTTTTGTGATATCATTGCCACTTGCTGTCCAGGCTTCTTTGCTGCTAGCATAAACAAGCTACCATTAAGATGCCAAAACTGTGTCGATAGTTTAGGCGCATACTTTGATTAATTGTGCTGCTTCTTGTTTGAGATATAATAAACTACACTTTTGATTTGAAATTGGACATTTCATATTTAATGACCAAATATATATTTACACATAAAGTTGTCAGATCTGTGGACCACTCTTGTATGACAGCCCAGAGCATGGAAGGGAAGAATGAATGAAGAAATTCCATTGATGATTTAGCTCTAGGCCTGCCAGTATAGGTAGAGACTGGTCTAGGTACCAAATCGCACTTGACTTCACCTTTCAACTGAAATTTTTTTGGTTGTATACCCAATTCAGCTGCTTCTTACCATCACTGTTTGAGGAAATGTGCCATTACATTTTTAGCAAACTTTTAATGTTTGGAAAGTTTTTATGAAAGCTGTGGAAAGTTAAAGTTCATAAAGTTTCTCTTGAAGTCACGAAATAGACTCTTTAGTTATGAGGATTATTTGGCATTTTTATTTTTAATAAGAAGAAAAGCATGGGGAATCAGGAGACCCTAGTTTTAGGACTAGCTCAGAATTGTAATCATGATATAATAGAACCTCAGCATTTGCTGAGGATTGTTTCATACAACCCTAATATTGATTATTAACAAAATGGCTTGGGTTAAATTTAGAGGGATAGGAAGAGTGCATAGACACATATCTTCTACCCTATTTCTTTTCTATCTTTCTGTTTTCCTTGTAACCTTGTAAATAAAGGGAAGTGAGAGTTATGGCATGCACTGGTGTGGTCTTGCCTGAACTGTGAAGAATTGACTCAAATGGCAGAAGTTGAAATTTGGCATCTTTTAAAATATTTGTCACTTTAAAACAGACTTGGCAACTTATTGGCATATAGCTATTAGAAACATAATTGTAGCTGATATGCAAAATGCTTCTATGATCTTTAAGAGTAAACTCTTATTTAGGTACCCCTTGCTGCCTTGCAAAATCTGTAGCATTCTCTAGGCTGTCTGCTTCTTTTTTTCTTGCTTCACAGATGCCTAGAGTCCTCTTCTGGCCTACTGGCCAGCCAGTGATTCCCACCTGACCTCGCCTACACTCCAGTCTTAAAATACCTCTTCCCTTTTCCTGGACCCAATAAAATTAACCATTCTCTTAGTCAACCTGGTGTTGATTTGAATTTAATATTCCAAGTAATGGAAGCTTAACTTTGGCACAGGTATAGGAAAGTGTTTGCATTTTCAAAGACTATTCTGTTACAAATTTGTTAACATACTCAGCGGTATAAAGATATTGTATGCCTTTTTTTCCTAAGCACTGCTATATCTACCTCATTAAAAATATTTATTTCTGCCAGCCCCTGTCAGCCAGAAAGCCAAATGCTTGGAGCCAATATGAAAGCCGTCCTCCATTAACTCACTGCCCTTACCTCTTTCAAAGTGGCCTTGGTACTGAGTAAAAATAACAGCATTGCTTAGATTAAGAATTGGGTTGGCACAATCATCAGCAAATAACTGAAATAGAATTCCTTAAGGTAAGATGCTTTTTTATTACAGATTAGGGAAAAAAATGTTTTTGCAGAATAGCAGGTTTCTACTTGCTTTAGATAAGGGGGACATAAATAAAATGTCAAAAAAATCTCAAAAGACTTTAAGTGTTACCCACTTAATTATACAGAAAAATTTGAAATATCAAACAATAGAAAAAAAGAACCCAGGCCAAAAACATTTTAAGATAATATCTCACTGTGTTGCCCAGGCTGGAGTGCAGTGGCTATTCACAGGCACAATCAAAAGACACTACAGCCTCAAACTCCTGGGCTCCAGAGATCTCCCTACCTTAGCCTCCCAAGTAGCTGGGTCTACAGGTGTACACCACTGCACCCTAAAAAATATTTTTTTTTTGAGACAGAATCTCACTCTGTTGTCCTGGCTAAAGTGAGTGCTGTGGAGTCAGCCTAGCTCACAGCAACCTCCAACTCCTGGGCTCAAGGAATGCTACTGCCTCAGCCTCCTGAGTAGCTGGGACTACAGGCATGCGCCATCATGCCTGGAAAATTTTTTTCTATGTATTTTTAGTTGTTTAGCTAATTTCTTTCTAATTTTTTGGTAGAGACGGGGTCTCAAACTCCTGAGCTCAAATGATCCACCCCCCTCGGCCTCCCACAGTGCTAGGATTACAGGCGTGAGCCACCACCTGGCCCAAAAACCACATTTTAAAACACAGAAATAGAGAGAACTTTAAAAAGTTTACTTTTAATTAAGCAAGCACATCACTCTTCATTCCTAATGCCATGCATACATGCTAAAATTTTAGATAACCAAATATAGGCTAAAGGTGCAACTTTTTAGAATTATTCTACTTGTATATATGCACTGAGAACAGAGAATCTTCCTAACAGCCCTTTACTGGCTCCCAGAGCCAGCAGGTAAAGAGGGGTCAGTATCATTTTCAGCTGATTTTTCAAATGGAGGATCGTACTCTTAGTAAAGAGGAAAGGGAAAATGTCTTATTTTCAGCATTCTGATCTAATTGATATGCCACTTAAAAATGTTAAGTTTTGATAATGGAAACTTTATCAGAATAAGGATTACTTTCTAATTAATACATATAAATTTGATAGAAACATTTCGATCTAGCACAATTTCTTTCAGTATTTGAGATCTGCTTTTCTCAATAGGGTTTGTCTGAGAGAATTGACCTCTAATGCCCTAAGTCAGTGGTTCTCAGCATGAGGTCCATGAACTAATAACATTAGCAATATCTGGGAGCTTGTTAAAAATGCAAATTCTAGAGCCCTACTCCATAAACACTGAATCAACCATCTGTTTCAACAAGCCCTCCAGGCGAGTTGAGGTACCCTAAAGTTTGAGAACCACTACTTTAAGGCATACATTGCTTATAATGAATTAATTTCTTTCCTATTCATCTAAAATTGTATTAGTTATCTAGAGACATTTCAACCTAGCACAATTTATTTTAATAGTCTAGATAATAGTTTTTTATTTTCAGACATTACAATTTATGGTGTGAAACTTGGAACACTGATCAACATTGATCAAACCCTCCATATTAGATTATTCCACCATATTATTCCTAATTATTGGGATAGGAAAACTTAAATATTATTCGTTTTGGGTTTTTTTTTTTTGCTGTGTTTAAACACAGAGGCATATAGATTTCTGCCAATTTAAAATTTCAGATAACATTAACTATATAAAAATTTCTGTCAAATTAAAATTTCAGATAGTGAATTTTCACGCTCCAGTAGGTTATATATTTATTATAAATAAATTCAGTTTCTAAGGACAAATTATTGCTTATATATAAGTTTTTACATTTAGGATGATAGATCATTACTCATATGTTTGAATGCATACAGGCCTTTTGAACCTCATTTTAGAATATATATAAGGTAGCTACTTGTAAAGAATAGGCTCCTTTTAAAAGTATTGTAAGAAGAGTAAGAAGGTACAAACAGTATGCTCCTTAGATGTCACTTCTGCTACAAAAATTGCATTATATAATTCTTGTCGCAATTAACTTTTTCATAGGAGAAGAAAAGATTAACAATTAACAATGTAGCTCGAAAGTGGGACTTGCAACAACGAGTAGCCAATATTGTCACAGCTCAAGATAGAAAAGATTCTGACTCTCCTTCTCAGGACCCCTGTCAGATTGATGGAAGCCACATCTCTGCGTCACCAGAGGAAACAGGGTATGCAATGGCAACTTTTAAGATACTAGCATCTTTAGAAAATTGAATATGGAGTGTGAATGGGAAACCATTTCATGTATAATCATATTAATAGAGCAGTTTTCTTAAGAAAATTTACTGTAATTAGAAGTTTAAATTAAGATGAAAAATTGAAAATATAAATCTGACTATAACCTTCTCTTAACTAAAATATCCTTCAGTGGTTTTCTACTTTTCATAAGAAAAGGTCTAGATTACTTAACATAGTCTATGAGGCCTTCTGCTCACCTCATCTGTTTTCTCCTGCAGCGTCAGCCACCTTCTTCTGGGACTGCAGCATCATTGACTTTCTTTAAGTCTAGTTACTTACTACTCAGAACATTTCTTACAAGAATAGTGCTTTTCTTCCCTGATACCACTCTCTGCCCCTATGTCTCTGATCCTGCCCTAGCTAACTCCAGTTCATCCCTAGAGGTCTTAAGTTTAAACCTCATGTCTCCCTAAAAGCCTTCTCAACTCTAGAGAGTAGATTAGATACCCCTTTTGTCTCTCAGTACCCTGCATTTCCCCTTCTTAGTACTTGCCATAACTATAAATAAATAACTAGCTGGTAATTAATTGTTCCATATGTGTCTTCCCCACTAGAGTGTAAGCTTCGTGAGGAAAGGAATTTTGGTTGGTTGTTTTGACCACTGTTGTGTCCCCAGCAGCCAGCACAAATCCTTAGTCCTTAACTAGTAATAGTAAGCAATGTGGCATAAAATCTGAATAATTACTCTAATTGTGGTCTGTATTATCTGTCATTCCAGTGACTCACAACCTTTTTTCTTCTCAGACATATGTATCACATGATACCTATCCCCAGGTTTATGAGCAATTCTGAGTATACTATCTAGACTCCACATATTTCTCCTCCTCTCAAAGAAGCGTATTGGAATCAAGTAAATGAGAGGGACAAAAAGCGTATATATACTTTAAATATATAAATATATATACACCTACAGCCATCCCTCAGTATCCATGAGGGATCTTGCTGTGTACTTTAAATTATCTCTGCATTAGTTATAATGCCTAGTACAATGCTTCACTTCATTCACATAGATTCAGTGTAGCACTCAGCATGCGACAAATTCAGGTTTTGCTTTTTGGAGCTTTATGGAATTTTTATTTTCTGAATATTTTTGATTCATTTGGCTGATTTTATTGATGCAGAACCCACTAAAACAGAGGGCTGGCTGTACTTAAAAATAAAGCCTAAAACCCAGAGGTAGAATACAATTCAATTTTGTTTAATTTGATGAAACACATTTGTCTTATTACCTTAACCAAACTCTGAAATGTATTATAAACTAAATATAATATAGCTTTTATTTCAAGTTTTTAGCTAGAATTCTTTTAGCCTTTTATATATAAATAATGTAATAAAGGAAATAATTTCAGAACCATTAGAATAATGTTTTAGAAATTTTCTGGACTTAGAGTCTGACATACATTTAGAAAAACATACTTTTTAAATTTTAGTTATAGGATTAACTTATATCAATGTATTTCCTTCAGCTGCCTTGGGAATCTACATGTAGAACTTCTCAGTTCTGTTAGCTAGAAAAATAAGGGAATAAGGATAAAAATTCTAATAAAATGATAATTTATATAACTAATGTACAATTCTTATATAGCCCTAGAGCTATATTTAATATTATTTAAATGTCAAAATATAATTTTACTTGGTTAGAACTGTAATACTTTATAATGTTAAAACTTTATGGCATTGGCCTTTAGATTTATGAAATAATACACATCCATCCTATTTCTGATTTCTCTTTTTTAAAAAAATATTTTTATTCTGTTTTTCTTAAAAAGATTCCCCAGGTCTGAGTTTATCCAAGTAATCTTGCAAATTTCATTCAAAAATATTAATAAGGTTTTAGAAGTTAGTACTTTAATATGTATGACTTATATGTAGTGTGAGGTAAGGGTCTACCTTGATTTTATTTCAATTGACTAGTCAATTTGCTAATATCTTTTCTTAAACTATTCTTTTTTAATAAGAATGCCATCTTTATCTTATGTTAAATTTCCATAAATATGTGGATGTATTTTTGGACTGTCCATTCCATTCTACTAATCTATTTATCTGTTTTTAGGCCAATACCAGACTCTTTTGATAATAGTAGTTTTGTAGTAAGTTTTAATAACTAGTAGGAGAAATATGCTTTAACTCTTCTTTCCAAATTTCAATTCTCACACACATATTCTTCCATATGAACTTTAAAGTTGTTTAATCTAAATAGAAATGTTGAGGATCATATTCAAATCACATTTAAGTTTACTTATTAATTTCAGAAGAATTAACATTGTTATGACAATAACATCACTTTAAGAAATATGGTATGTCTCTCCATTTTTTCAGGTCTTGTTTGATATCCAGAGGGAGCTAACTGGGAAAATGTTGAAAGACTGAAGGAAAATTCTGAGGAACTAAATGAGGTTAGAGACCAATGAAATTGTAGCAACCATAGCCAGAATTGTTGAGTGAGGTTATTCCAGGAGTACAGAATAATACATCCATATTTATGGGAATTTAACATAAGATAAAGATGGAATTCTTATTTAAAAAAGAAAAAATAGTTTAAGAAAAACTATTAGCAAATTGATTAGTCAATTGAAATAAATCAAGGTAGACCCTTACCTGATACTATATATAAGTCATACATATTAAAGTACTAACTTCTAAAACCTTATTAATATTTTTGAGTAGCTAAGTATAACAGTAGAGAAGCTGAATGTCTGATGAAGAACAAGAAGATAAGGGATCAAAGAGAAGGAATAAAAAATTTCAAGTGTGATGACAAAATATAGAAATGATGGATCAGATTGTCTAGGCTAGATTTTTAAGAAATTAAAATGCAAAGGTTGCCAACAGATTGGGAGAAAATTTTATATTTCTGGGACTGGAAGTCTAAGTAACAGGGAAGATGAGTATATAAAGTAAGAGGGTTAATAATGAGCCAGAATAGTGGGAATTTATGGTCAGAGTGAGTTTTTGTGGTTGAAGATTTTAGAGGTAGAACATAGCTAAGTTGACATTAAGAGCAATATGGAGGCCATTTTGTGGCTGTGGGAATGGGTTGGTGGAGAAGAGTAAACGCAAAGATCACCAGAGGAGAGAAGATCAGTTGAAACCATTATTATAGACATTGAAGTTACTAATGGTGGAACTAGGTGTGGAACCAGGGGCCAAAATATTCAACAAATGACCAGCCTTTTCTCCTTCCAGTCTCTGCCTTGCATCCTGTGCTCTTGTTACAGGGCTGTTCACTATTCAGGTTTTACTAGTTTGGGCAGCTGCAGTGAATGAATGCAGGAGTATCTTTTTTATTAAATGATTCTTTTATGTGGCAAAACTATGTCTGATAGACAGATTCCAGGCTATTAATGTGACTTTCCTGACATTTTGAACTTTAAAAGTGGCATATGGCCAAAAATTTCATGACCTCCAAAATACTTTAAAATTATAGAGTCTTCATTTTTATGATTTCAAAAACAAGCAATCAGTTCCAAGAAAAAGAGGAAGTATCTGTTAGTGAAAATTGTTGTGCCTTATACTTATTGCCAAGAGTTTCAGAATTTTTATTAGGAGTTTCATAAAGTCAGAGGCTTTTAAACAAGGAGCACAGAAGAAGAGTTTGGGAGAGATGGGAAAAGTGATGTGTGTGTTCAATGGAGAGATTGTTAAGAGTAATGATCAGTCATTAGGAAAGAGATCCACAATTTCTGACAGAAGATTTACTTTCTACAAATATAAGTTTAAAGTGCCATGAAAACGCTATGACATTCTCTTGGTCTGACCCTTTTTTAATGACCTGAAAACTAGTAAATCGAGGAGCCACAGAAGATATTTATATATGGAAGTGGAAAAATAAAACTTTAGGAACAGACAGTGAATAATGGTAGAGACTATAAAGCAAAATCAGTTACTTATAACTTTTAATGATTGCATATTTTTCTTTAATGTTGTTTGCGAATATGTGATTTCTATAAAATATCTTACATCTGAAAGTTAGAAATATTTTTATAAGAGCTTAGTATCCCTTGTGTTTGTCTAAACCAGGGGCTCTTAACCAAAGGATCCGGACTGTTTTTTTGAATTATAAATCCTTATTTTACTTGACCTCCCCACAGCAGTTGACATAATTGACACTCTTCATTCACCTTATTTTCCTTACACTTATGTGGTTACTCTTTTTTTAAAGTATGTTTTACTGACTCCTTTTCTACCAAATGTTTAAATGTATATCATGTGATTTTTTTTTATAAGATTTAGATATACTTCTTGCTAAAATAGATGAAAATTCAGCTCATTCACCCCCTTTCCTCCCAAAACTATATATCTGTAGTTCTCTTGTTAATAACTTTTATAGTGTATAATTAAATCTCTATTTCTTATTTCATCTGCTATAGATGGTAGCTCTCAAGTGTGTACTGTTCCAGATGAGTCTGTCATTTTTATTTCTCCCACTTTATATGTTGAAAATTAGATTAGCTGTACTTTTCTAATTTCCCTTGTGATTTCTTCTTTGATGGGTTGTTTCAGAGTGTGGTGTTGAATTTCCATATATGTATTAGTTTTCCAGATTTCCTTGTGTCACCGATTTCTAGTTTTATTCCATTGTAGTCAGAGAAGATATTTGTATGAATTTAATCTTTTTAAATTTATTAATACTTGTTTTGTGGCTTAAAATGTTCCATGTGTACTTGGGAAGAATGTATATTCTGCTGTTGCTGGGTGGAGTGTTCTGTATGTATCTGTTAGGTCTGGTTGGTTTATAGTGTTTTCAAGTCCTTTCTTTATGGTTGATCTTCTGTCTAGTTGTTCTATCCATTATTGAAAGTAGTAGGGTATTGGAGTCTCCAACTATTAATGTAGAACTATTTCTCCCTTAAATTCTTTCAATTTTTGCTTCCTGTATTTTAAGAGTTAATTGCATATATGTTCATAATTATTATACCATCCTTATGGA